GCTCGGCCCTGCAAGCGGCCAGCGGGAGGGAGAGGGCCCGGGCACCCACCGTCTCCGTCCCGGCCCCAGCCGAATCGAGCGTCCACTGGAAGGGCGCTCCCTGTCCGTCCCTAGTCCTCGGTCCTCACGGAGGCTCTTTGTCACAGCGAAGACTGTCAGCCCGTAGTCTTCTGGACTTCTTTTATGGGGCTCCTGGCGGTGCTATTCATTCAGTCATTGATTCGTCTTGTAAATATCGAGCGCCTGCTCTGTACTGGACCCGGCATTGGGTACCGGATGAACCAGACAGCTCGGTCTTTGCCACCATTTATCAGTCTGTGCCCTTTTCTCGAGTACTGAACCGAAATACAGTTTTAAATGTGCTGTGCGGGCTCTGAGCAGCGACTCACCTGTACAGGTCACTTCACCTGATTCCCATTCTGTAAAAATGAGGGCAGTGGGCTGCGTAATGTCTAAAGGACCTTCTAACTCCTTAAAATTATGTGATTCACTATCACCGTGCTAACACGGGTGTTACTAACGCCCATTCTGTATGCTTGATGGCAGTTTTTAATTTTTAGGGTTAGCACAGCTGAACATAACAAATAGAATGACACAAATTTATTACCAGAAGGACTTCGTGTGCCTCCTAGAATCTTGGTTCCAGTCTTTGGTCAGGTGGCTCCAGGAAATCACTTCACCTCTTTGCGTCGGACCCTCCTCTGTGAACTAGGAATGATAGCAGTGTCTCCCTAATCTTAGGGCCGTTGAGCGGATTACACGAGATAAGGTGTTTAGCACAGCGAAGCATTTGCTACGTGATGGCATTTATTATGGTTAAAGGGTTTTACTACCAGAACAGTGGTACATAGTTTGCTTTATTTGTTAAAACAATGTAGAATATTGCCTGCTTGTTTCATCACAGATGAAAAAAAGAGATGGTTATTCAACTTTGTGAGGTAATTGTGGATTCCCATGCAACTGTAAGAATAGAGATTCTGTGTACCCTGTACCCAGTCTTCCTAGTGGTAGCATCTTGCAAAACTAGTGCAATATCACAGCCAGGTAATTGAAATTCACACAATCCATTGATCTCATTCAGATTCCTCATTTTGTATTAGTGTTCTCTGTGTATATTTAGTTATATATTGTTATCAGGTGTGTGGATTCTTGTATCCACCACTACAGTCAAGGTACAGCCCAGGTCTATCATCACAAGGGTCCCTCCAGTTGCCCTTTTATAACCACAACTTCCCTTTGCAGCCCCACCCAATCTACTCTCTGTTTCCAAAATTTTGTTATATCAAGAACGTTACATAAATGTAATTATTGTAATTATACAGTATGTAACTTTTGGAGATTGACTCTTTCATTCAGCATAATCCCTTGAGATACATCCAAACTGTTACTTATATCAGTAGTTCCTTTTTATTACTGAGTGGCATTCCATAATGTAGATGTACTACAGTATTAATATGGTTTGGCTGTGTCCCCACCCAAATCTCATCTTGTCTTCTTGAATTGTAACTCACAATTCCCATGTGTTGTGGGAGGAACCGGGTGGGAGGTGATTGAATTATGGAGGTGGGTTCTTCCTATGCTGTTCTCCAGATAGTGAATGAGCCTCACAAGATCTGATAATTTTAACAAGTTTCCCTGCACGAGTTCTTTCTTTGCCTGCTGCCATCCATGTAAAATGTGACTTGCTCCTCCTTGCCTTCCACCATGATTGTGAGGCCTCCCCAGCCATGTGGAACTGTAAGTCCATTAAACCTCTTTTTCTTCTCAGTCTTGGGTATGTCTTTATCAGCAGTATGAAAATGGACTAATACAGGTATATTCAACTGTTCACTCATTGAAGGACATTTGAGTTGTTTCTAGTTTTTAGCTGTGAATCAAGCAGCTATGAACACAAGTGTACAGACTTTTGTGTGAACCTGTTTTTGTTTCTCTAGGGTAAGTGCGCAAGAGTGCAATTGCTGGGTCATATGGTAAGTGCATGTTTATTTTTATTTTTTGAGTCAGGGTCATGCTCTGTTGCCCAGGCTGGAGTGCAGTGGCACAATCTCAATTCACTGTGGCCTCTGCCTCCTGGTCTCAAGCAATTCTGCCTCAGCCTCCTGAGTAGCTGGGACTATAGGCACATGCCACCAC